TTTTTTTTTTTTGCTTCTGTTTTGGTGTTATTAAGAAGCCATTGCTAACTAAAATCATGAAGATTTATGCCTGTTTTCTTCTAAGACTTGCAAGCACAACACCATTTTATACAAGGTATTAAAGCATCTGTGCCTTCTTTTGTGTGTGTGTGTGTGTGTGTGTGTGTGTGTGTGTGTGTGTGGTAGGAGGAAGAGATCTAACTTCATCATTAGCAAGTAGAAATCCATGTTTCTAATCACCATTTGATGAAAAAGAATATCTTTTCCCTATTGAATAATCTTAGCACCTTTTTCAAAAATTAAAATGTAGGCATCATTTCTGGACTCTCAACTCTATTGATACTTTATTCTTTTTGATGCTGTTGAAAGTGGTTTCCTTACCATCATTTTTAGTTCATTCATTGATACTTTATAGAAACCAATCAATTTGTGCATTTTATTCTTGTATCCTGCAGCTCTGCCGAACTCATTTATTAATGCTAATGTTTTGTTTTGTTGTAAGTCAGTCTTTGGATTTTTTCTGAATTACTTTTAGATTTCTATGCCTGGGATTATATTATCTGCAAATAGAGCTTGCTTCTTCTTTTACCATGTAGATGTCTTTTATTTATTGTCTTGTCTAAATTGCCCTGGCTCGACCCTCCAGTATAGGTTGAGTAAACATTCTTGTCTGATTTCTGATTTTAGGGAGAAATCATTCAGTTTTTCATCATTAAGCATGATACAAACCGTTTTCATAAATGTATTTTATCAGGTAGTGCTCTACTATTACTAGTATGTGTGTGTGTTTATTATTAAAGGATACTGGATTTTGTTAAATAATTTTTCTGTGCCTAATGAAGGTATCAATGTGGATTGTGATTAAATCTCATCTATTTCCTTTTCCAAACACTCCAGAGAAAGCAATTAAAAATGGCATTCACTGAACAAATGATAACTTTACAAAAAAAGGCACAAAAATAACATTTTAAAAGGTTTGTAGATAAGTAATCTAAAGATATCTAACAATCACTTTAAAATATAAAAATATAAGTATATGAGAAATTTTCCTGATTAAAATAGTAAAACTTCATTTGCTGATTATAGGAAAATATGTTCTTATAAGAAAAATGAAGCATAATAAATTAACATATGATAATTATCACTTTTACGTACATATATATATATATATATATATGAAAAAGTACATGGTAGAATTACTAAATTTCTCTGGTAATGACAAACCTTCTCCTATTCTAAAAAATTTCATTTTAAAATAGAGATTTGCATTTCAAAAGTCATTGTATTAACTTAATCAAAATACATCATGCTTTATACTTTATAAAATAGCATATTAACAATCATATTTATCACACAAATGTTGAGAGTTGTGTTGTTTGGGAAGATAAAAACAATAAAATTCCCAATTATAGCTTGATTGTGCTCTGTGTAGTATATATAATGCCTTCTGCTTTAATCTGCTCCAAAATGGGCCCATAGATCTCCTTTGAGAAGGGCCCCATCAGGCCTTTGGCTTCAATTTCACCTGGAAGAAAATAAAAGTGTGATTATCATTTCAAAGATGGTGCTAAAAGTTAATTTCCCCAGCAAAAGGGAAGGTATCACCCCAGCAATAATCTCAGCATAACAGATGGTCAGAAGCCTGACATTAAAACAGCTGCTTATATGTTCCCTGCTAGACCATTACATTGTCAAGTCACTGTAAGAAAAAGAGATGAATTTTGAATTGAAAACATAGCTGAACTCAGTGTCATTAACTGCATTAATTCCTGCCAGAATGAACAGAAACCAATCTGATTATTTGACCACTAGTACCTGTTAGGATGGCTAAAACAGTAAGTCTGGGCACTTTTAATAACTTCCATGATGACCCTAGCCTTTATGGCTTCTTCACTGTGGTTCCTCAAAGACCAAGTGAGAAGTTTAATTTGACATTATCTGATACGCTTTGTAGATATGTTTGCTCATTATTTCACATTTACACATATTGATGTTTTTCACTCCCTTCCTTCTTTCAGACAGGCCAAATGGAGTATCATATTCAGAGGTAATGCTTAATCATATTCAGAGGTAATGCTTATTGAATGTATATGTGATCATAAGGGGAAAGTGGAGAGTTAAAATTTGAATTCATTTATAGAGGGTTCCAGATTTCAGATGGTTTGACATATTGGGATTTTCAACGTTATCATGGTGTGTTCAATATAAATCAATGCATTTATGGAATAGACACATGTTATATAAATCATACTTAGAATCTTTATCTTTTCTCAGGCTAGTGATATGCCATATGATACTCTCATGCAATGCTGGGCAGCAGCAGTCAGCCACAACTCCCAGTCAGCCATGAGATCTCCAGAGTGAATACCTGATACTCTACAGTAAACTGAGTTGCTAAGTTGATGTTCGTTAGGTTAGGTGTAGTCGATGCATTTTCAACTTAAGACAATTTCAACATACAATGAGTGCACCAGGATGAAAGCCTGTGGTAAATCAAGACGCATCCATAATCTTAAATACTAAGTACAGACAACATGCTGAAATACAAAGTTAATAAACTATGGTTCATAATGGAAGGAAATTAACATTCCTTTGTGGGTCCCTGTATGTTGCAGGAATTGATATGTTATTTCACTCAAACATGACGACAGCCTTATGAATTAGGGATAGCAATACCCACTTTCAAGCTGAAGGAAGTACTCAGAGGTGCTGAGTAAATGATAACCCATCACAACTATCTTATAACTGGGCTGGGTGGAAATTAGGTCTTACTCCAAAGCCTATACTCTTCCCTCTCCACATGGTGACCTCCCAGTAAGGGATCTTCTCAGATAGCTCACTTTCAGTCAATGCCAGTGTTATGCTCAAGAGTAATTATCTGATGTCCAGCACTGAATGACTTGAAGGTGATATGAAGACAGAATCATCCCTTAAGTGTACAGAACTTACCATTCAGCAACATTTTGGCTGCCATGGCAGTGGGTAACCCCACAGTTTTAGCCATTGCTGAAAAGCCATTGAAGTCTCCATAAACCACAAGATCAATAGTTTTATTTTCTAAATGTCCAGAAGGATGTCTGATTCCAAAGCTGTCTCTCATCACAATCATGTCTTTTTCCTCAGGGCCTTAAAATAAACACAGACATTGAAAAATGCCACTATAACTCAAATAACTCATTATAACTCAAATATTATGTCTCATTTCCTGCTTGACTCCTTCTCCTCTCACAAACTTTCCTTCCCATTGCATATGGTCCTTAGACCATTATCCTACTGTTTTTCAGACCCAAAACCAAGGGGAAAAAAAAACTCAAGGAAATTAAAACTCTGATCATGTTCTTTTGTTGAGGTCATGAACACTGGCTATGCAGTCACAAGGACAGTACCGTAGAGGCCACACACACGATTCCAAAAATGCTCCTTAAGTATTTCCTAATAAGTTATAGTAAAGCTATTTCTGTTTCCTTTCCCACAGTATTTAAGTTCATTCTTACCTAAAAATCCTCACACTCTGGAAAAACAGCTCAAGTATCCTTTCCCTCACATCCCTTCTCCCTATTTCTACTGCTTGGTTCCAGCCTGGAACTAATTCTACTCCTCTAATTCTACTGTATGACTTGTCCTTAGGGATACTTCTCTATGACCCCCACATCGTACCATAGGAGAGCTTCAAGGCCAAATGCTTGGAGAGGGCATCCACGATGGAGTCAGCCTGGGGGACTTGATCTTCCCCAAGTAAGCCCAACCTGAAAAGTACAAGAAGTGGCTGCTTTAATTCAAGCCCTATACATGTTCTTATTTGGGAAGCAGAATAGAGAGTCACAAATTTTATCTCAAAAGGACAGAATTGCAAGGTAACTGCCCAAGTTCTAGATCTCTCCTAAATTATAAAATGATGATGTTTTAACCTTTTAGAGTCCTCCCCAGACTACCCCAGAGATTGCTCCTTGCAGCAGAGCAGAAATAATGCATTGTAAATCCACATTGTAAAAAAGCTTTTTGTGAGATTACAGATTAGCTGCTCCACTTTAAGTATACCTGCATAACACACAGCAATTATGTGAATAAACATTTTAAAGTATTGGGGGAATACTCAGAAAATCTCCCACAGGAAAGCGAAATCATACGACTTTATTCAGGAATGAATGAGAAGTTTTTCAAAATGAGCATTTTCCAAATTTTAAGTGTCATTTAGTTCCTCTTTTTGCCTACTTTTTATCCCCATATGAACATGCAGTAATCTCTCCACAGCGGACCAACATTAGAGCAGTTAGTTAACCCAAGGCAGATGCAAAATGCTTGGTTGTATCTTTACCTTTCATTGACTAGAAAGGACCAAATATAATCATTGGTCCAATATATTTTGCTCTAACTTGAATGGAGAGTGCTTACCATTCAGCAGCTTCCAGCTGGCTTTTGTCCCCTCCCAGTTTCTTGAGGACAGCTTCCTTAAGCATATCACACGTGGAGGAGCGTGAAATCCCAACTAGGTCACAGAGGAGTTGTTTCTGATTAGAAAAATAAAGATAATGAATCTGACAATATTATCCTATGTGTATACATGACTACACAACCAGTGTGATTCTACATCATGCACAACCAGAAGAATGAGAAGTTTTACTCCATTAATATATGATGTGTCAAAGTGCATTCTATTGTCATGCATAATTAGAAAAAAAATTTTAAATAAGGAAAAAAGATAAAAATACTTCAAAATTTTAAGTTAGAAACAGCAATGTGCATGCATCTGCACCCCTACACATCTATGCATGGTATTCCAGAATGATATTTCAGTGGTAAACACTCAATACTAAGTAAAGGAAATGTCAGCATATTTCTAGCTTTCATATAACCTCTCCATCACATTTTTCGCCCACTCTTCCCCACTCTCCAGCAGTCAATTTTGGCCAGGATAAAGTGGAAGGGACTTGGCTCTGTGGTTGCCAATAGCAACCAGAGTGCCTTGGTAGGTTCAAGAGATGAGAAAGAACTGGCAGGTATAAAAAAAAATCTCAGTGGCCACAGCCTTTTCTACTTTCTAAACAAAACTTTTACCAGGCTCCCAAAGGGAAAGTCATGTTTTAAATCAGGGGTCAAAAAGTTGGTTCACAAGCCAAATGTGGCTCATCACATGTTTCATAAATACAAATTTTATTAGAACAGTCATGCCCATTGATTTATGTATTGTCCATGGCAGAACTGAATGGTTCCACAGAGACTATCTAGCACATAAAGTCAAAAATTTTTACAGTCTAATCCTTTACCAAAAAAATTTAAAAAGTGTATAAACCACTGTTCTAGACTACAGTGATCAACATACTGGATCCACCCTAAGAATGCCTGCACCACCCTCTGCAACCTAGCTGCCTCAAACCCAGGTTGTCTTTAAAGGTATTTACTCATTACCATCCAACAGGTAAATTTATGATGGGTAAAACTTTAATTGAAAAGGTTTACAGATGCACAAAATTACTACATTGAAAACATTGGTCCTCTTCCCCTGTGGTACATTTCTGTTGGCATCTCTTCTGAAATATGGGCACATTCGTGTAAATTGAATGATCAGCTGGTAATAAGCTAACACTTTATATTCAGTTCTACGCCTCCAAAGTCCCTTCCAACTCTAAGATCAAAGATATGGACATAAACTGAGTAACTAAAACTCAAATTAGTCATGGTTATGAATGGCCAAGTGAGAGGATTGGCGGGATTAGGGGTTAGGAGTCAAACTCTGTGATACAATAGCATCTCTTCTGGATTATCATCTTCAAGGGCCCAAGTGACTCCTGCTACCATTATACAGTTGGAGGATCTTAGAGCCCAAAGCAGAGAACAAGCAGGTCTATTTTCAGAGCTCGGAGGAGTGATCCAATGGTACAAGCTAACATGGAAAATAGGATTGGTGTGTCAATCCCTGGCCTTTTCCATCCTTCAGTAGTGGTGAATAGAAGGAGACCTTTAAGGCAAGGATTTGTCTTCCTACTTCAGCTGCCAACTGCACATCTGATCATTTCAGAAGGCTTTTCTGAAGAGCAGCAGACAGGACAAAATTCCCAAGTGGCTTACCCAGGTGAGAGGGTTGGCCTCAGGTCGAAGAGCAGGATATTCCTCTCTGTTGATCAGACCCAGTTTTACAAATCCATTCAGAGCTTTGGAATATCCCTGAAACAAGAATTACTAATCAGCATATGAAATTTTTCTCTTATAAGAAAACAACTTTCAAGATTTTTTGAAAAGAGGATCTATCTTTGTAACTAAATTAGAAAACAGACTGAAAATAGTCATTTGTATTGCTGATATGGATACAATCACCTCCAAGTTCAAACCAATCAGTAGTGTCATAAAAATTCTACTTGTTTATATAAAATACCTTGCAAAACTTGGGCCTTTATTCCTGTTTCCATGACTATGTGAGTGGTATTTTCGGACAGCATAAGGGCAAATTTCCATGTGCAATATATAGATAGAGTCAGTTCAGCAGACTGTCATTTAATAGAACAGTCAGTTTTGCTCTTTCTTATCATGGAAGAAGGAACTTATGGAAATATTCTCCAAAGCACATAATCCATTCTACTGATTAAGAACTGCTACCCTAAAGCATATAGGGCAAAGGAAGAAAGGTTGAGAATCGAAGTTTCTAAAATGTGGATATGATCATGCAACCACTCACATTAAAGTTCTGTATATGTCCTTCATGTTACACTGAAGTCCTTGGTATATTATATAAAACTCTTCACAATATGTCCCTCCAGCCTGACTCTCCATCTCTAACCATCCCTAAACATCTGGGCTCTTCTGCACCTGCAGCTCCTGTGTCTGCAACATGTTAACCACCTCTCTTCCCCTGTGGAATGCCTGCCCCTCCCTTGGATCCAACTCTGAAACCCCAAGTGAGTGGACATTCTCTTTCTTGAATTCCATAGCCTTTGTACTACCTCCACTGGCAATTAATACATTATTCTGTGTCTGTTCATCTGGACCATAGGCATAGAAAGCAGGAAATTATATTTAATTATATTATATTTATTATATCATCACAATATATTACTAAGTGTATATCCTTTACTCTCACACCCTCATGTCATTTTCCTACATTCCAGCATTTCATTCTGCTAAAGGAGAGCAAATTACAGAATAAAATTTTTGATTGACATATTAGGTCAAACAAACAAACAACAACAACAAAAACAGCCTTTGTTCTGTGTGCAAATCAGGGGGAGAATGTGAATCCTGAAACAGGGAACTCAGTGGCTGCTACAATAACAGCTCAAGGATAAAGAGAGAGGAAAGTAATGTTGGAAAGCAACATAGTTTTTAATATAAATAATAGTTCCTGGTAGCCATCAGAGATTTCATCATTAAAAGTGCAGTCAACTGGTAATTTTCATATTTCTGCAAGGTTGTAATATTCTAGCTATTCAAAGAGGAAAAACAAAACAAAACAAAAAAAGGAACATGCAAGTTTGCTTCAATGATCTGACAGGTACTAAAGGTTTCTTAATCTCAGAAATATAGGTTTGGTTTTGTTTTGTTTTTTATTTTTGCAGTGCTGGGATTGAACCCAGGGCTTCATGCATGCTGGACAAGAGTTCTACCATTGAACCACATCCCCAGCCCCAGGAATAGTTTTATGAAGACCTCCAGAAATGAAGCTACTTTATAGACTGTCTTCAATAAACACTGAGCAAAACTGCTGGCACATTACCGGGGCTGAAGCCTCAGAGATGAAAAACTTAATTCCTACCCATGAAGAAACTGCGGACCAGAAGAGGGTCAGATAAGACAGAAAAAAAAAATGATGCCTGGCAAACAAATAGTGATTATAAGTGACCACTGATGACCAAGCTACCATAGAATATTATTGGTGCTATGACAGAGGTGGACACAGTTATGGGATCACAAAGGAGCAGAAACTGGCATAAACAAGAAAGGGGTGACTCAAGGGCAAGGAGTTAGGAAGATCCCAGAGAAAGGTGTTACCACACAGGATCTGGAAGGACAGCATGTGACAGGCAGGCAGAGGATGTCACCAAGGCCTCCCTGTCTTATTTGAATGATAGTGTCTTATCTCCAGCCCTAGAGAGTATGTTTGGGTTGCTGAAGGTTGCCATAGCTTGCTCAGGGCAGTCCTCAAGACAAACACTGCAACGTCTTTCATGGTCAGGGGTTCCATGGACTTAGCTCTCATTCATACACATTGAGGGTTTTAGTGAATACTTAAATCTACTAAGATCCTTTACTCCTAAGTCTGCATGTTTAGCAAAAGACTATACTGAAAACTCTCCAGAAATTCTAACTCCTGGACTCCACCTCCAAAAATGTTACTACTCACATAGAACTAATTGAAGAAAAACAGATCAAGAAATCTTCCAGAGCAGGGGATGGCATGACTAGTTCACACAAGAATTTCTGCTGTGCCTACAGGCTTGTTGGGGAGCCAGGGCTTTTAGGTCTCTTAGGACATTATCACTGACATCTTGTTTAACTTTGGACAATGAGCACATCACACTCATAAGAGTACGACTGCCAACCTGCCCTCTGGGAGCTTATAATATTTTGGGGGAGACAACAAAAATACACATATAAATAATACCAAAATGCTAGGAAGTAAATATTGGGATACATAAAACCAATAGATGTTTCAACAAGTAAGAAATAAAACGGTTGTCTTTTCTTTAAATAAATAAATAAATAGAGTCTGTGGATGTAGCTCAAGTGGTAAGGTGCTCACCTAGTATGCACAAGGCCCTCAGTTCAATCCTGAGACCACGAAAAATAATAATTATTATTATATAGGAGTATGAACCTGGCAGACATTATGCTAAGTGAATGAGTCAAACAAAAGACAAAAATACTGTATGATCTCACTTATATGTGAAATCTTTTTTTAAAAAATGTTAAATATCATATATGCACAGAAAAAGAATAACAATGGTCACCAGGATCCTGAGGCAGCAGAGTGGTCAGGAGAGTTTTGGAAGGGGACAGAATGGGGGAGAAGTTGAACTATGGATGCAATGCAGCAGATAAAAAGGATGAAGCTCCCAAGTTCATGGCCACACAGAACTCTGAATATCAGTTTATTGTGGATACCAGCAGATGTAATAAGTTATGGATCTCAATATGAAATCAACCACTGATTTCCATTGACAACTAAAAAAATATTTTAAAAACTTCCAGGTGTGCTTTGGGGAAGTCCCTCTCACCCTGTCCCTTTCCCTAGCTCCAACCGGATGTTTCGAATGAGACTGACTCCACCTTCATCAATATGGAATATCATAGATCAAACTATACTTTTACTCTACCAACCTCGGAGATAAATCCCAGCTAAAGAGACAAAAATTACATTTTTAATGATTAGAAAGATGAGGTTTTATATTTCCACTGGATTTGACAGAGTGCAAGAAGTAAAGCCCCTGCCACCTGCCTGCCACTGTGTGGAAATCTGGACTGCAGGGAATCCTGGCCAAAAGGGCTGGGGAACAAAGAGAAATTGAGTCCTGGTGAGGCCCTTTGGCCCCCAAATCTCACAAACCTGAACCTGCTTGCCCCTGACTGCTAATAAGGCATTACATTCTCCTTTGTGATTTTTGAGTTGACATCTGACATTCTAAAACTGTTAATCAAAAAAGAAAAGAGGCTGTGGGTTGGTTTATCATCTCAATTACTTTGATCAATAAGGGAAATTAAGTATTCACACACTCACATCAAATCTGGCAAGGTGTTTAATCTACAATACAGTTGCTGACCTTATACCTCAGTGTCCCCCGCAGCAGCGTGTGGGCAGATGGAATGCCGTAGATCTCAGCATATCTGGTACTGTCTCTATTGGGATACCCTTCCAGATTCAGTCCCGGGAAGTAATCCATGGAAGTGACTGCATCCAAAAAGGACACCCCTCCTGTGACGTTCACGACCTGAGAACATTGAAGAGATGCAGGTGGGATTGCAGCAGAGCTTGATCCCCTTTGGGTTCGTCTGCATAAACTACCCCAAGGAAACAGAGGTTTAAGTAATTAAATTTTAATGAAACCACCGTAATCAGCATCCCAGAGTCAAACTGTTTCACTGTTACCATAATTTATAAATTTTTCAATAAACTTATGAATTATGGTGACACAAAGGCAAAAATAACAGATACTTATTTAAATGGCTTCTATGTTCAAATCAGCATGGCAATATTCTTTTTTTTTTTTTTTCACTATCACACCCTCTTGAATGCCATGTCAGGCATGAGTCATACATTCCATTCACACAGCTAGCATTTATTGAGCAGCACTATGTATGTCCAGGGATCACACAAATTGTGGAGAGAATAAGGTCAGTGATGAGTAAGATGTAATCTCTGTCTTCCATCTACTCTTTTTCTCATTGAAAATTAACTAGATGTCTATCCAGTACCTGGAACCATGAAGTAGCAACTACAAAGAGCTCACAGCCAGACCAGTACATAAAACTTTGTGTACATGTTAGAGGGCAGGTGAGGTTGTGAGGAGATCTCCCTTCACAACAAAGACAATGCTGAGAGCATACAGTGAAACTCAAATAAGTACTACCCATAATCTTATGGCCGATAAGTTAATCATGGATTCCCAAGCTCTTTGATATCTCACGACATCTTTTACCTGTATCTCCTCCTACACGCACATTCAAAATGCAGTAAAGCTGCATGACCAATGTAATTTTACAATCTGTACACTCAGAAAAAGGAGAAATTATATCCCATCTGACTCAAATGTATATGTCAAGATCATTGTACTGTCATGTGTAGCTAATTAAATCAAATTAAGAAAATAAATAAATAAATAAAAGGCAAGTGAAAAAAAAACAAAATGCAGTAAAGCTTTTTATTTTTATTCTTTTGCTTGGTTTTGTCTTTATTTTAATTGGAGATTTACATTTTCTTTTAGTTTGTGAGGTTTGTGGTTATCTGAGAGATAATGGCAAGAATTCTGAAGTGATAAAATCAGGGCTGAGACTTTGGGTCAGGGATCCTAGTGAGCTGGATTTTGTCCTGGCTGCACAGCGAGCCACCATCTCTGACCACATCTCTAAAACTGTACACTGGACAAGGCACAAAGAGCTTTCCAGGGGGCCTCAGGATGAACTCAAAGGAATTTTCCCAAAGGCAATGCTTTGGCTACACTCAATTATTCCCATAGTTATTTGCAGATGGGCTCCACATGTGCCTTAACATGAGCAATCAACACCTCATCTCAATATGGCGGAAGACCAGGAGGAAAAGGCCTGCCCAGACTGCAGTGTGAGGATTGGCAGAATCTCTCTGGTTAAAACGCTATGCTGCTGTGAGGAATGCCTTCCATTTAATTTTCTTGTAACCCCTTCTGCGATGCACCACTAACATTTCCAGAGACCATTTCTGTACTATTTGTTTAAAATAAATCTTCTGATATGATTCTAAAGTTTTTTTGAAAATCAAATAAAGAAGGTAAATGTTGACGTTTAGGGTCTCCGCATCTATTTCCCTTCTATAACCTATGGCAATTCCAAAGTTCTGTTTACTGATTTAAAGGTTAGGAAATTTTTAAAAAAGAAAAACTGAATAAAAATGATGAAAGATGAAAGTCCAGCATCTTACCAATGAGAAATAAATCAGCTAGTTCATAAGTCCATCATGAATTCTGGGGACGAAAATTGGGAACTGTAAACTGAATGGTATTGATTCATTTAGAGAGACTGACAGTTGGCTAAGCAACCAGATCCAGAAAATTACAGGGTAATCATTACCACTTGTATCAATTCAGAGTTGTATTTCTAGCGACATACCATGGGTTCAATAAACCCTGTCATGTTTAATATTTAAGTAATGACTTGAATGAAGATAGAAAGACGTATCTACTTCACAGAGAGTATGCATTTCATTTCTTTATTCTCTGATGATACTAACATCCAAGACCTACTCTCAGCAGAATCTGGCTCATCTTTCATTGATGTTGCAGGCCACTCTAAGTCCAAATGTTTTTTACACACACACACACACACACACACACACACACACACACACAAATACATCTCCTAGTCATTAAGAATCATTGGCAAATGTTTTATATCAAACATTCAAATAACCACAATCTGCTTCATCACTAAGCAACAAGAAAATTTTTTCCCTATGTAATTAGTTTTTAGTTATTTATTTTTATTTGATCTTTTTAGAAATACATGACAGTAGAGTATGTTTTGACATGTTTATAACCACAGAGAGTATATCTTATCCTTATAGGTTTTCAGAAAGTCACCTACTTCTACTCTAAAATCCTGGAATTCCTGACTGACAACTGATGTGATATGAAAATTGCTCAAGTGATACAACAAGGAATTTAACACAGGAAACATAGAGTCATTTATTCCAGGCCCACAGTATTTCAAGTGCCTTGGGTACCTTCTCTTTCATCTAGGCAATAACATATTTGACAGAGGTAGAAACTGAGGCTCAGAGAGTCACTCAGGAGCATACTTGAAGCCAGGTCTAACCAACTCTAATGCCCATGTGTTTTCTACTTCGTCACATGGCCCTCTTAATTGTTCTTATTTATGAATGAGTATTTTGAAAAGATATTGACACAGTATACCGCCTCTGATTGTGCCACCAGTGGAGCATCTGAAAAGTATGGATTGCTGTGGGCAGTGGGAGAGCCATAATTGTCCTGACTTCCTAAAGGCTGTTGAAGTCAGGTGCTGGCAGGCAGAGGAAAAGTGCACTCCTAGAAAACTTAACCTTGAAGCTACGGTTGCAGAGGAAGCAGTTTTTACTTGAAGTATGTGTTTATCTGGGGTAGACTGAGAGAGGAAGCTGAAAGAGACCATGGCAAAGCTCTGCCATGTCCTGCCCAAACGTAAGACAGTCTTCCTCCCCAAGGCAGGAAAGCAAAGCACCACCTGAGGAGGAAAAGGAACTAGGAGAAGATGAATCACTGTCTCCAAATAGGTGGAAGGCAATCAGACTTGTTAGAATCCTGATTAGAATTTAGAAATAGTACCAGTGGCTGGAACTTACCACAAGGACGTGAGATAATATGTCCTAACTCATTTTCTAATTGCTGGAAAAGTTTGACACTTCAATTTTAAATAGAAGCCAGAGAGGTCACTTGGCTCCCTCTGTAAGATTCTGCATGTCATTTAAGGCTGGCTCTGTGGTGGAGGTGATGGGAGCAGAGTGGGTGGACAGACAAGAATACAAGAGAGGTTTTAAGAAGTTTAACAGTCTGGCTCGGGAGACAGACTGGATACACTTGAGTTACTGAGTGACTAATACAATGCCCAGGAAAATACAGACAATGGAGTGTTAAGCATCTGACATGTGATTGAATTCAGATAAAAGAGTGAATGGAAGACAGAGTGTTAGGCAAAGCTGTCCGCAAGAAACTTAAGCAGGACCTTGAAAAAAATGCAAAGAAAGAAAAGCATCATGTTTTCTTTTTCAAATTCCCCACAGTGTCAGGAAAATGTGAAAAAGCACTCCTTTCAAATTCAACAAATATGACTTCTGCTGCCCGAGAATAACCTCTTGCTTTTCCTGTTTCTCATGACCATTAATTTCTTTATTTTGCTGATATCTGCTAAAGATTGATGACATGCCTGTCAACCAGTTGTTAAGCAGATTGCAATCTCTAGGATTTCACTGAGTCTTATTGTGGAAACCCTGTGAAGCTGATATTATTGTCCTTTTTAGACAAGAAGCCCCAAGTCCACCCAGCTCATGGCAGAACAAAACCAGGTCCGTGGGCGTCCAATCCCTTGCTCCTTCCACTAGGCATTTTGCTGAGCCTTTCCTTGGATCTTCCCTAGCATTTAGATAGCCTCCTGAAAATAAGCATTTTGCATAATTGAAGCAAAAATTTTTCCAGCCAGCCTTACCATTTGTAAGAAACACAGGCCAATGTCCTTCCAGAATGCAAGAGGTGGAAGGAGCTGCTGAAATGAAACAGGAGGCAGACAGTAAGCAGCACATGAAAGGATGTGCACTTAGGAGAACATCGGTCTGAGGTTCTGGCCCAAACCGTAATGATTCATGGAACTGGAGAATTGGATGAAATTTCAGTGTTTATATAACACATGCAGAGACTGATATGCAATGGACTTAACTATTACCTAGCCTTTGGTGACACTGTGAAGGAAGCCAGCACTTGGTTTCTTATTCTGAAGCATTCAGTATCTTTCCCACATTCGCCTAAAGTGCCCTGCTTGTTTAGTAGGGTTCTAAATGAAGCTATAGTCTGCTGATCACACTAGAATGTAGATGGACACTAGAATCAGTTGGGAAGATTTTTTTAAATCCCAAAACTCTGGTGAATCAGAACTTTAAGGATAGGACCCAGGTATCTGATATGCAGCCAAGCTTATGACCAAGATTTACATCATAGGCATGAAAGACCTGGCTGATGTGCAATGGAAACAATCAAGTAGGCCAAACAAGTGGGAGCCAGCTCCCGAGTCATGTGATTTAATACTGGCTCAGCCACTTGAGCCTAACTGTCTACAATTGACTTCTCTTTCATAGGTCTGCTTCCTTCCAGGCTGAGCTCAGCCTTCTCTCCATTGCTTTTCCTTCTCTCTCCACTGACCACTTCACCTAGGTCAGATCAGCTGCCCTCTGTGTATTTCTGTGGCATGTTAGTATACTTTGGAAATTCTTCTTCTTATATTATAGTTATTTATTCCAGTGTCTATTGTTTCACTAATAGGAAGCAATCTAGGAAAATGGGAAAGGAAAGGTTTTGGAGTCATTTAGAACTGAATTTGAGTCCCTGATGATGACCTTGAACATCCTCTCTGAGCCAGTTTCCTTACATAAATTGGTAAAAATAATACTAAATATGGAGAGTTCTTATGTTCTGTTACACAGTGGCTAGGGATGAAATTGTACCGGTAGCCACCCCCATCCAATGGTGAGCTCTCTGAGGATGGGCACTGCTTTCAGTGTGGCAGCCTTTGGTGCCTCATTCCACAGCCAACAACAGCAGCTACTTAGTAAATGCTGAAATAAATGCAAAGACGACTGGAATGTATGAGTGTAGAGATGAGATGTGAATTTCCAAAAGCAATTTGCAAGAAGGCAAAGAGAGAAGAATGCACACAGGCTTTGCTGGAAGGTAAGACCACACTAAATGGTACAGGAGATGTATGCTGGGAAGGAGTGACAATTGGGGGGGGAGGCAGCAGAGCCATTGTTAGAGGACCTCAGAAACAACTCAGGGAGAGAGAGTTTGGACTTTGTTAGGCAGTTATTGCAGGTTTGTATCTCTAAAGCTTTGAAGGTATTTCTTTACCTTTCCATTGAGCAGATAGGTGGCAGGCTGCATGATATTCATCAAAACGCCCACTGGACTCCAGCTAAATTTGTATCTCAAAGGGTTGTCTGAATGTTCAGGGGCTGGGATCCCACCACAGTAGGAAATGTAAGATTCAATCTGTAAATAAAAACATTAATGGATGAGGGAGAATAAAAAATAAGTTAGGGAGAATAATGAATTTAAATCATCAGTTGAGGGCAGTGATATTCATGGGGTAAATCTGCTGTAACGTTTTTCTTCTTTTGAAGTATTAAAGCTTTTAAATATATGTCCTTAACATCAGACACTACTTGATTAACTCAGTTGTATTTGATAAACATTAAAAATAAAAGGGATGTCTAGAGAGAGTAACTAACATTTTGTTCATTTAAAAATGAACTTCATATCAATTCCAGTTCATATTAAAACTTACATGTATTTGTATATTCCAAAAATTGAAACAGTTAACATATTCAATAGTACTTTGTTATGTGCAAATATCTCATACTCCAACATAATGATGATATTCCAAAGACCCTTTTCTCACTTTCAAAAGTCAGACTATATTACAGAACCTCCAAAGCAGTCTAAATTCTTTATGAAGCTAAAATATTGTAGTAATGTCCATTTTTTCTAAAAATTATTTGCTACCCAAGACTCAGACATTGTTTGATATTTTTGACTGACGGCACAAAATTTTATTTGAAATTCCCCAGCAAAGAATGAGCTATAATGCAGCAGCATCATTCGTGAAAATTATAGAAAGATTGTGTACACGAGAAACGACCTCTTAATGTCTTTCTTTTTTTTTTTTTATTTTAAGTCTTCCAACAGTTTATTAGAAAGAATGTAGACATTTTAAAAAATCCCCACTGTCATGAACATAAATTGAGGTTTTGTCTTTCTAAATGGACTTTGGGATTAAACGAGGCTCACCGTGGCTCCCACTTCTTTGGCCTTATCGATTGTTTCCATTGCCAACATGTGATCCAGCCCAGGGTCCAATCCCAATTCACCAATGACAGTGATTCCAGCATCCTCCACACTGCAAACAGGTGGAAAGAGGAACAACAAAAAGTTGGATATAAAGTGAAAACAAAGCCACAGAGCCACTTAATTTGTTGGAAATGGTTGGAACGCACCTCTTTTCCAGTTCTTTTAAGGCTGGTGTGATGTAGCTTGCAGTGATCATGTTAACTTTGCTTGCGACACATGCCTTGGCCACGATAGGATGCAACACATAAGGCAACAGGCTTAAAAACAGAGGCAAAAACGAATAAGAAACTCTCTTTTCATTATGGATTGGATCTGGAATGTCCCCCCTAATCAGCAATGTACAGAGGAGGGGCTTTGGGGAAGTAATTGGATGGACTCTGACCTCATCAGTGGATTAGTCCATTGATAGCTGAATAGACTGCTGGGAAGTAGTGAAAACTGTAGGCAAGTGGGGCACAGTTGGAGGAAGTGGGTACCTGAGAGCATGCCCTGGGGACTATGTCTTGTCCCTGCCCCTACCATCTCTCTGTTTCCTGGCTGTCATGAACTTCCTCTGTCCTGCCCTTTCACCATGATTTTCTGCCTCATCTCAGAGCCAAAGCAATGGACCCAGTCTATTATGGACCAAAATCTCCTGAACCCTGAGCCGAAACAAATTTTTCCCAAAGTTACTTTCCTCAGGTGTTTGTCACTGTTGCAAAAAGCTGACTAACACACCCCCTTCCCCTTCGGACACACCTTTATCTGTACTAACATTCAGTCCCAAGGCACTTCTCTCAGAAATGACCAAGGACTCCCTGAGGTTCATAGAATAAATTCATCCTGTTGGCATATCTAAAAGCCTCCTTAGTGACCCTCACTTAACCTCCATCTCTTCCCTTAGTCTGTGTTATATGGAAACAAAGGAGCAATTGTCATTCTTCACTCAAGGTCTAGATGGAAGGACTTCAGTTGATGTTGTTTTGATTTTTGGAAAATGGGATTAGAGCTGACCCCTCTTTTTGAAGGTGATATAATGGGCACTCAGTGGGACATAACTTGAGTCATTTGACTTCAACCCAATTAATCCAAAAGGATTAAAAGTATCAGTTGTAAAAAACACACTCAAAATGCAAATGGATTTTCAAAGAAACTAACCAAATTGGATTACTATTTTATATTAAATCATTAAAAACTAAAATTTTAAAAATTAAAATCATTAAAATTTAATATATTATTATATTTATTTGTAAAACATTTTTGCCCATTTTAGTTCTTAAACCCCTAACACTGTATTTATATCAAAATAACTTTTCCAACTTAAAAAATAATAAAGTTATTTAAGGAATAATACAGAATAATAATGTCTAATAAAATCACCACTATTCAGCACATAAAATTCACCATGTACAAAAAAGTTAAACACAAAACAGATTTTACTAAGGCTAACTGCTATTGAAGGCTACTAGTTTGCTTAATTTTGAATTTTGAACATTAATAAATTGCTTTTATCCATTATCTTGTCATATTTTGCTTCAGATTTCCTTCAAAGTGTGTTTTATTATGTTATTTCCTTTTTGTTTTATCAGAAAAATGGCATATTTAAGTATCCATGTGTGATAAGATAAATTATTTTTGCTTTACTAAGGTTAGACTACTCAAGTTTGAATCAGAATTATTTATCATAGTCATATCATTACCAGACAAGATCTATTTATCTTTAGCCAATTTTTGCCAAATAAAAATTAATTTATATAAAATATGTCTAATATGAGTAAACTTTTAAGTGCCCAAGGTGAGCCTATATTCAAAGATATCAAGAGGTAATGCATGACTTCCCACCTATAATTAGACTCACCTTTCAATCAATCTGTTTTCCAAGTCTACTTTTTTAAATGGACATTACAAAACTTCCTCCAAAGATACAATTTGAATCTGATCTAACTATGGACATTAAGCAATCACTATCAGTAAGCAGGTAGTTTTTTTTTCTCCTACTTTGGAAAAATTGTATTCTAAGAATAAATCACTATTCTCATGACTTTGACATTCAAATCTAACACTGACCTCATGTATATTTATCAATCAATGTTAGATCTATAAAGTTCGATCTGCTTTTTTAAGCAGCAATAATCACTATATTGGAAGATATGTTCCCATGTAAGATTTAAAATGTTTATAGGAGAATCTCCTTTCCATTTAAGCCTTACAAGTCCAGAAGAAAAAATAGACAAAAACATGAAATATGAATACCTAATGATCCAAGAATTCTACTTCAGGTTTAAAATCATCAGAACGTAGTCTATATGGTCACCAAGAAACAAACACTAAAATGTTTATAGCAGCATAATTCATAAATTCAAAATCCAGAAACAACCTAAATATCTACCAACAGTCAAATAAATAGCAATTGTATATTCATACAAAAGAATTCTACAGAGTCATGAAAATAAATAAACTACAATTCCAGACAATAACAAACATTTCTCACAATCACAATGTTGAATGAAGGAAGGATTACTGGTTGAACCCAAGTACATCAAGGTTGGAAACAGACAAAACCTAATCTGTATGTTAGAAGCCAGAAGAGCATTTACACTAGAGGACAAAGTTGATGAATGGGAAGTGACACAAAGAGTTCCTGGGGTACCACTCCCATTTGTTTCTTGATGTGGATATGTTCATTCTAAAAATTCACTGAGCTACAAGTTTTAAGCACCTTCCTGGATGCATATTTCAATTGAAAAGAGAACAGAGGAGCAGAGGAGAGGAAAAAGAACAAGAGAAAATAAGGGAAGAGAAATAACAACCAAAAAGAAATATAGAACTCATTCTTTCCAAATACCTGATGACAAGATCCTGTGTTGCCACCAAGGAGCCCAACTTTTCTTCTTGTGTACAAATGTTCAAGCTAACAGGATTGATATTATATTTCTTGCTTAACTGTTTAATTTGATTCATCATGTCAGAGCCTATTTCAAGAATTAAAAAGTCCAATTTTTAGATTTCTTGTCACTGGACAAAGAGTAACATACAACATCTCCAAAAAATAATTTTAGAAAGAAAATTGTTATCTAAAATTTACATCAGTTTTTCTTTCTCCTAAAAAAAAAAAACAAGGGCTTATTTACCTACTGTTATTTCTATGTTTCTGTCTCTTGACAGGTATTCTAACACAGGTTCAGACACGTAGCCAGATCCAAGAACCAAGACCTTTTTCTTGGTACTCATTGAAATTGATTGAACACGTTCTCTGTAGGGGGAAAAAATAGGTGGAGGGTATCATTTAAAATCTTATGCATTATATATAGCAGAATCTTGCTGTCCCCAAAACAAAGCAAAACCTAGACTATGAGGAAATAATTTCTTGCACACTACTTAAGTAAGAACCTGAACAGAAATTCCCTATACCAAGATCTTTCATTTCCATTTTAGATTTTGTAGGATGAAGACAGAAGCCTCACATCACTGAGATGTCCTGTGTGTGTAGACCTCCCATGCAGACACTGGACCACTTCTTGGCTTACTCATAACTCTAAATTGGCTTTACAGTTTTTCCTTCCAGGGGATGTGATTCAGTCATGCTAAGGGCTTTCCTTTGGGACTTGATTTGAATTCTCACAACAGTGCAAAGAGACAATAATCTGAGATCACTATTATACACATTAGAAGTTGTTTTGCTATGTATCTTTAGCGTCATATGAGAACAGTCAAAATCATAGCTCTAAAATTACAAATGCAATGGCTTTACTGTAGAAACTTGAGGCTAATTCCAGGATGGAGTTTCATTTTCGAACAGTTTGTTCTGTTAGAATTCAAACCTTATTCTGGGAAAAAGCCTTTCTTTCCTACAAACAGTGATGAAGACATCGTTATAAACCCATTAATGCTTTCAATATGGAAGGTACTCATAAAGTGTCTTTTTTTTAAGAGAGAGAGAGAGAGAAAATTTTTTAATATTTATTTTTTAGGGTTTTTTTTTTTTTGGTGGACACAACATCTTTTATTTGTATGTGGTGCTGAGGATCGAAACCAGCGTTGCACGCATGCCAGGTGAGCACGCTATCGCTTGAGCCACATCCCCAGCCCTCATTAAGTGTCTTTTGAATCAAATTCCCAAATATCAACATGAAACCATAGAGCTGGCCTAGTGCCAGAAGCTGTTTTAATCTTTAGGCCAGGATGTCTCTCAAATTATAAACCATGAATCTTTTCACTATTAACAAATGATAAATATAAATATAACATGTCCCTGCCTCTCTTCACTCACAACATATGCATATCACTAATGAGAAAAGATCTCCCTAACTGCTATTCCCATCCCATTTCACCTTCCAAAGAATCACCATTAATTGGTTACTGTATAATCTTTCTATAACATTTTCTAAATTTTGAGTAATTAAAACTTTTTGATGTATAAATATAAAATGTTCAAAATCTGTTTTAAAGCACTCATTCCTAGATTTCTAACCCTGTTCACTTCGTCAGGATCCCCAAGCCTCTGGTTCCAGGTGAACGATCACTGGGCCAAGTGATGAAAAGAACACAAGAATCAGACAGGATTCAAACTAAGGTAAATTTTCCTTTCAAAATGCAATCTTCGTTCCTGAGAGAGGAGTGGGGTTTCTGCAGGGAGAGAGGTCAACAGAGCACCTCTTTTGTTTGTGTATTTTGCAACATATTACAGTTTCCATTTGCTTGGTTAAGAGGATTTTTGAGTTGTATTACCTACTTTAAACTAAATTTACTTTCACAAATGGAAAGTGACTAAAAGATTACTGCAAAGAAATCAAGGATTGAAGATCATTCTTTTACTCTTAGTACAAACTTCTTCTTGGTTGCATTAGGAGCTTATGAATAATAACAATATAATCAGGTGAGACTTTGGTCCCCAAAAGTTAAAATTACCAAGATTTAAAAGGAAGATCTACATCTATTTTCTTTATCAGTAAATGCTCTAAATGCATACTGGGTCTCAAAATGTTATCTAATGATAGCATCTAGTTGTTCTGATTAGCAATACTGTTAAAAAACTGTTTACCATAAATTCCAACTTCAAAGTATTCTATGTGTATTTTATAATGTCTGCATAATACACTGGCATATGTAATTTTAACAAATGATTGAATAATCATTTGTTTAGGAGTTGCTGCTCATAAAAAATAATTGAAATTAGAATATGACCAAATATTCTAAATTCATATGAACCTGTTTCACAACCCTGTGGTACCTCTTACTGTGTGGCTTGGAGCAAGCTAAGTAACCCCACCCCATACCCGACACCCACCAAGATTCAGTTTTCATACTTTAAACTAGAGTCATGAGGATTAAAGGAACTAATGTTAGTGAGACACTGAACATAGAAAAAAACAAACAAAAAAAATGCAATCTTCGTTATCAGTCTCCTAGCACAAGAATTCACTGGAGAAGGTAGAAGGGGAAGTCCTAATAGTTGGAACCAAGGACACCTGCTACTACATGAAATATGGTACATTGTGAAGATATTATTATCATTGGTCATATTAGCTATGTGACTGGTATAAGTAGTGAAAGAGATAATCAGATAATGAGAATAAAAAGACAGAGGAAGCTGTAGGATACACCAAGTGCAGTTGCCCCTCTAGGAAATTCTCTGATGGCATTATAGAGCTAGCTTCTTTAAAAAAAAAAATAATTAAACACTCTTTTGCCAGAATGCTTCATTGCCTCATTAAATAAAGCAAACCCATGTGGGAAAGACATAATTTTGAAATACTTGATCTGGGCAGATCTTTTTACTCACTTCTTATAGGGAGAACCACTGAGCAAGACATATTTTAGTTTTCTCACTCTAGTTTCTCCTGAGAATTCAGTCACAAGCTATGTTTTTAAATGTGAAGAGACCAGTGGAGCAGATATAAATACATACTAAGTGTAATCAGCTGGAGCAAATCAGAATATTCCAAAGAAGTGTCAAGGTTTTCAGAATCCAAGAAGAAAGAAACAGGAGTCTCAGCTGAGTACCTAAGAGAACTGTTATCTTAGGTAGATTTGCTAAAACATTATGTGGTGCCTTATTTCAAATGAGAATCCCTAGGGAAAATTACCTGTCACTATTTTCTTTGTTCACTATTTCCCTTAATGTCTTTCTAAGAGCCCATTTTCCAGAACCACACACTAGACAAAAGAAGAGTCCCAACCTTCATCTAAAATCCAAATGGAAAACACCACAGTGTAGTTAATATTCTCAGTTTCTTTTGAAAAAATGACTGAGGAATCAAAACACATGAAATTCTAGAGGAAGAACAAGGGGCTACTCAAATGACAGCCCTTTTGGACTTTTGCTTATTTAAGTCCAGTCACTTCGCTTGGATGTTCTACATTTACAGAGACGACAGGATCAAAATTAGCAGGCTATAAAAGCCTAAAATTAAGAACTCCCATTGAAGTTTTTAAAAAATACTCATCAAATCCAAGAACAAATGTATATAAAACAGGAGAATCTAAACAGTACTTACCTACTCTCTCGAAGTTTCTGGATATATTTGTATTTATCAGTCAATGTACCGTTGGATGTGATCACTGCCTAAATGTATATGACACAAGAAATTTCTTTTAGCATCCACCTAATTCAGTCCTACAAACATGGGCTGGTGACCAATAGAAAAGAGGCAGAGAGGCAGAAGTCAAAAGTCACCCACACTCTCCTCCTGCTGTCTCCCAAAATTGAGTCAGACAATGACAAAAGTCACATCTCTCATATTAAAATCACAGCATCCTTCTAGCCTTCCTCCCTTCTTCCTAAATTTCCAGAGAGAAAGAAAGAGGGAGAGTGAACGAACAAAGGACAGAGGAGAGTGAGGATGGTATTCAGAAAATACATTCATGTAAAGAAATTCTTATAACTTACGTCTCGCACCACAGGAGAAAAATTCTGACTTTCAAGAGGCTGTGATGCATCCGATAATAACTGAAAGAAAAGAGATTCAGGAGAGATAAGTGATATTGAGAAGGTGACTTCTTGGTGTTTGTATCCATACTAAAATATTAGTCAAAAAACTGAAAAAAAATATTAGAATTTATTGAAGATCATTAAATATAAATACTTGGCAATAGAAATCTTCTACAAGTAATCAAGTCTGCTCCTAAGAGTGTTGTGGTATTTTCATCCAATTTTAAAACTAAATTTTGACGGCAATCATTGCTTGCTAAGAACACACACAAAAGCTGATCTTTCCCACCTACTTAGATGCATCATATTGAGTAGATTATAAATAACCACAAGCTTTAGACCTCTGTTACAGAGATCCTCCATTCCAAAGGTTTAAGCTGATCCTTTGGAAGTAGAGAATGGGGTTTGAACTCAGCAAGCCCCCCCCCCCACAGGATTAGCTCTATGTGTAGGCATATCAGCAACTTGAAAGTGGTGGAGAGAGTGACTTGAAGAAATAGAACACAAAAGTCACACACACTCTCCTCCCACGGTCTCCCAATATTGAGTCACACAATGACAAAAGTCACATCTCTCATATTAACATCTAAGCGTTCTTCTAGTCCTCCTCCCTTCTTCCTAGATATCCAGCCTTATATATACTGCCAAGCAATAGAGGGTATATAAGTCAGTGTTATATCTGATTGGCAGGGAAGGCAATTTCTAGAGCCCTTACCCAAGTGAAAAGGAGAAAATGTACCTGACAGCAACAGAGGGTTTACTTACTGTACTAAGACAAATAGAAATTATTTTCATGTACCATATCATAAGACGTACAGGCTATCTATTGGAATACAGACACTTTTCTAAAAGACAAAAGATGTGTATCTGTAAGCCAAGAGATACTGTGAGAAGCTCACAGAGTCAACAAAACTGAGGTCCTCCCAGTGATTCCCTCTCAGTCACCTCTGCAGGATTTCCTTCTTGGAAAGATTTCTAAGAAGATTCCTCCCAACGTGACCTCAGACCGGAAGATGCTAATAAATATTAATGTGAGGTTCTAATGTCATTTGGCATGTGGTCAATGACTCAACTTGTGCAATTCCCTCTGTTTGCTCTTTTTGTCTCTAATTCCACAGCCTTATCTGGGCCTCACTGTTACCAAGAGAACTGCCTCCTACCTCAACCTCTTCCATCTCTCCCCAGTCTAAAATGACAGTTTGATTGTTCTATGTCTGTTTAAAATAACCAAGTAGCTGGCTCTCTGCTGCCTTTAATATGAATTCTCTAGCTTCCTATATGGGTACTAGACTCTCTACACCCTCAGATCTTTTGGGTCTTCTACCAAACACTCATTCCTATTAAACAGCTTGCCCTTGCCTACCTGGAACTAACTCCCTCTCTTCTTCCTCCAAGATATAACTGAAGAACCATCTCTTCTCTGAATCCTTTACCAAAATCTGCCTCCAAGTACATCTTCAAGGTAAGAACTGCACATAGCATCTTACCATGTGTCTGCCACATGATACGATGGCAAATATTCAACAAATAAATCATTGGATACATGAAATAATAAATTATTTAAAACTAAATAGGTTTTTTTTTTTCCAAACAGAGAACCAAATAGTTGGCAAGAAAGATGAACATAGAAGACAACAAAAATCTGCTCAATTACTGCATTTAACTGACTCCCTTTCTAGAATGTGATCATAACAAAATTCAAGCACAAGGGTCCTAAATCATAGGGTTTGTCTTGTCACTTTTACATATAAGACCTTTGATAGCCCATCAGTGTTTCCTAAATTAATAGCAAGCTATTCATCTTAGTGTTTAAAAAGTCTTACAAAAACAAAATTAAAAATAAACATGACTCTTTACAATATAAAAGTAACACATTTATCTTTACTGAGTCAGACTTGACAACTCCACTCACAGAACCCATCCCTTAAGAAAATTCCTACCTTTGTTTCATCTCCTTCACATTAAATGTCTCCCACTCAAGCCAACTGAAGTGTCATCTCTTTCCTAAGTTGGTTCAACAAGAAGCTCCCTCTCCCTCTACAACTCCACTAGCATCTTTTTGATGGTGATCACATCCCAGCTTATGGCAGGGTTGTACAGTTGCCCCATTCTCTTTCTGAATCTCATGCTTCTACAGGTCAGAAGCCATATTTTAATCTCTCTCTACAGACAAGCCTTGTTCCAACAAAAATCTACCAAATGTAACTGAAACAAAATTGCCAAATTACTTGCAAAGTGATAGC